CAGAGTCCCTGTGCAGCAGGGACCTTCCTCCTCTGTGTCCACTGAACATACCTGAAACAAAGAACTAGGTGAGCCTGGGGTCCTTCTAAAGCCCAGCATAGCTGTTTCAGAGGAGTTCATTTACTGGTTCTAAAGCTTTTTGAGGTAGAGGTGTAGCAAAAATAGTTTTCAGCATTGTTGAAGACATTCCCTGCTCTCTTGAATGGGACTTGGTTCATGTAGAAAGCACCTACCCCTTCATAAATTTTTCATAAACTTCATTCTGCTTTATTAGGAAAGTTACAGTAGAAATGTTTTAAAAAAGTTACTACAAAAATCTATGTACAAGTTCTCCCAAACTGCAGTGTCACCCTTTGAACCTGCTGCGGCTGAGCAAGCTCCACAAGCTGAAGCTTCCCAACTGTAAACAAAGTTTTAGTGTTAGAGGCCAGGGTTGGGTGTTATCCCCCCGCTTCCCCCTGTTTAAGCTGCTGAAGCTGCAGGAGGAAAGAGGGCCAGTCAGCGGTGCTGAGACGTGACAGCACTATGGCTATGTAAGCTAGCTGTGCCAGAGCTTATTTCCCTTAGGGGATAAATACAACAGGGATGGGGCCAGGTTGGCTCAGGGGAGGAGAAAGGCACACAAGGCCCTAGCAGCAGTATCTGCTCCTTCCTACCCCCGTGTCAGGAGCCTGTGCCTAGAGGGGGTTTTTCCTCACGTCGATCATGGCGGGGTGGTAGGGCCCGGGCGTCGTGTTGAGGCTGGCTCTGCGCAGCTCCCGCCGGGCCTTGGAGGCAGCGGGGAGGAGGCTGCGGGGCAGGGGCAGCCCTGGGGCCGGCCCCGCTCGCAGCAGCAGCTCCGCGTCCCGCTGCCGAAGGTCCCCAGGGCTGTCGCTGGGCAGGGAGGAGCGGCGCCAGGTCGAGGGCAGAGGAGCGTGCACCAGATCCCTGCTCTCCTCCCTCACCCGAGGGATCTCTTCAGCAACAGCCAGGGGCAGGTGCTGATCCCCCAGTGTGGGCTCTTCACAGATCCCCAGCGCAGGAGCAGGTCTCTCCCCAGCTCCGTGAAGGTTTCTCTCCATACCTGCTTGGAAAGATGAGGGCTGCAGTGAGGGGAAGAGCTGCATTGATTTAATTTTCTCATCAAAATCAATTCCTGCAAAGCACTTGCTCAGCACTGCACTGCTCCAGAACTGCACCTGGCTGCTGGCCGCTTGCCCTGAATTTGTGTGGGAGGGCAGGGCTCAAGCCTGGGGCCTCTCTTACCTTTGGTTTGTGCGGGATGGAGGTTCATGTTGCTCAGCCTCTGGTTTAGCTCCTGGTTTGCCCACATGTATCGGCTCAGCTCCTTTTCTAGCACCTGAATCCTCCCCTCATACTGCATCTTGCTGCTGGCCAGCTCCTCATCCATGTGTTCTGCAAGGAGAAACGGTGCCATTTCAGCCACAGGGCCCTCCCCATGGTGTCTAAGAACTAGCATGGACCCAAGAACATGTGGGGCAGCAGCTGATGAGAGCAGTGCTGCCCGTTGCTGTCACCTCTGCTCTGCTGGAGCAGTAACTGCAGGTTCTGCTCATGCTCCTTCTGCTGCAGGGTGAGCTGGCGGTCCAGCTCCAGGCGCTGGCGCTCCACGGCCGCCTCCAGCCAGTGCACCAGCTGCTGCTGCTCCTCCAGCTGCATCTCCAGCTCCGAGAAGGCGATATGCTGCCGGTGCTGGTCCTCGCGCAGCGTCACCACCTGCCCAGGGCCCAAGAACAAAGATCTCTCACCTCCTTCGTGGCAGGGGAGCCTTCCTGTCCCACCAGCCTCATCAAGGTAGTTTTTCTTCCCCCACAGATGTGTGTAAAGGTAGTAGTTTTAGGCTGTCACAGCTACCTCAAGCAACACCACGTGGCTGCACTGCTGTGGCACAGCCACCCTATTATGTATCAGTGCATCCTCTACCCACACCTAAGCCCTGTTTCAGGTGTTGGGACAGATGGTCTAGTTCTGCAGAGCAGAAGCAAAGGGGGTGGCAGGTACAAGCCTCAAGGATAAGATGTGTAAAGGTAGTAGTTTTAGGCTGTCACAGCTACCTCAAGCAACACCACGTGGCTGCACTGCTGTGGCACAGCCACCCTATTATGTATCAGTGCATCCTCTACCCACACCTAAGCCCTGTTTCAGGTGTTGGGACAGATGGTCTAGTTCTGCAGAGCAGAAGCAAAGGGGGTGGCAGGTACAAGCCTCAAGGATGAGGAGAACTGCTGGGCCAGATGCTACAGTTCCCTCCTGCACAGAGGGAAGTCTGACTCCCACCTTGTCAAAGTACTTGCAGAGCAGGGCTCGGGTCTCAGAAGAGGAGAGGTAGCTGAGCTTGGCCATGAGGTTCATCTCACACTGTGACAGCAGGCTGGCTGAGGCCCGCAGCACTCGCTGCCTGCACGTGATGGACTCGTTCTTGTACTCAATGGCAG